GATTTTTTCAAAAATGTGACTCAGGGTTGGACTTTCACCCTCCCTCTCCCAGTTCTTTCTTCTCAGTAACATTTCCAGCTTAGGAGTAATTTCAAGTAAACTCCTATCCCCATTTAATGTCTCAAATTTCGAAGCTGTACTGCCAATTTCTTGTCTGTGAATGATGCTGCTATCTGTAAGCAACAGAATTGCTTAGCTGATGGAAGTAATTATCTCAGACAGTTTCAAATAACTGAAATAATTAAAATAATTACCAGAGTGGCGTTATTTAGTTTGTCAGTAAAGTGTGAAGCTCAAACTAGGGGTGGATGTTATATAAGTAACATAAGTTTCAGCATGTCTATGTATTTTTTAAGTGAAAAAAAAGTCTACTATATCTTAAATCACACTCACTTTCCTTTTTTAAACTAAAATCTGGTGTCCTGGATCTCTTACTGACCTATTCTGGAGACTTCAGAGAAGTCCTAAAAAGAGCAGACTAGACAGATGTGACTTATTCCTCCTCGCACACTAAATCTCACCTTAAATGTATTTGGGTAAAGGCTGCTGTTGCCCCTGGATCTTAGATTTGAATATAAAATCCATAGAATTTATTAGATTTAATATTTCAATGCTGATGTTCAAATTAATATTACAAATAATACTTGTGAATCATTTAATTGTTCTTGTGCTTGTCTAAAACCTTTGTGTATGTTACTTCTTGTCCTGTAGAGTGTTATACAGTCCAGCAAGTTGCACGGTGACTGTATGTTATGCGGAAGGGTCTTTTCTCATTTGATTTTTTACCATCTGACTTCTTTTTGCCTTTAAAAGGATAGCAAGTTCCTGATCCAAATTCTTCACAATTTATGTGTATTTGTCATGGCCCAATTTATTTTTCCATACTACCTGTCCAAACAAAATACCCTAATACGTAGTTAATTCATGCTAATTGCTATCTTGATGTTGCATCCTTTTAAAAATAGTAGTAATAAAATACTAGCGTGTATGGACCTGTTTCCCCTCCCCACCCCCTCCATAAGCTCTAAGTACAAGAATTACATAAACCTCACTGGAATCATAAGTACCATAAAACTCGTTACGGTGAAAATTGGGCTCTGAAAAGTACAGACTACTTTGACTCATGAAATATCTTTATTCTGAGTGTCTCAAATCAATTATTAAACAATTTGCAGTGCCCCGTGAGACATCTAGTCTATTTTACAGATGAAGAAGCTGAATCGCAGAGAGATTTAGATCCAAATTTTAAGGGTCTTTAGATTTGCATCTCCCACACTGCTTGCAGTGCCTTACTTGTACCCATTCTTTGTGTTACCCACAACCCCCTCAGTTAGTCACTTGAACACTTATGTACTGTTGGGGGCAAAACAGGCATTTTATACAGAAAGCCACAAAAAGCAACACACAGATGTGGAATCACTTTTGCTAGTCAACAAGTAATTTCAAGAAAAGGGATGTTTGTTTTCTAAGCCTTCCTCCTCCTATGTATGCCCACATTCATACTGTCTTCTTTTGCCGACCGCTTAGCCGTGAGCTCTGTTCTAGGTTAAGATGAGTTTTTTCTCGTTATATATATCTGTTGTGCTTGTTACCCACAGTTCTAGTGAGATGGAACACAGGAGGATGGGTAAAAATTTTGATTCAGTCTCTGTGCCAATAAATACTCAGCATAAAGTTCTTAGATAACTTTAGTGGCAAAAAGAGTAAACTAAAACTTGGAACAAAGCTGGTGAGTATGTGGGTAGGCATCTCACTGATTTTTCAAAAATATCTAGGCATTTGTTTAGATATTTGGGTGATCACATCTTCATTAACTTAACTTTTTCACTGACAGGACATGGCAGACATAAATGGAAATTCCCCCAAAATTACTGTCTCCCATAGTGTCCCTGTTGTACTTTTATGTCCCAGAATGAGTAGCCAGGTTACTTCCAAATATTATGAAGGCAAATGGAACCCATAGGGAGGGAATTATATTAAAAATTGTTAAACGAAAGTGAAAGTAGGTTGTACTATACATCAGTCTGTACTACTGATGGCAATTGATATTTTAAAATAATTCTGCACTGCAAATCTCAGAGAGGACTTTACATCAATTTGAAGCTTTGCTAAAGATGTTGCAGAATACCTGGCAAAGGCAAGCATGGTAGCCATCACTGTGGAGTAACCTGAGGAAAGTCAAGTTTCCATTAAAATAAATTGCCAGATTCCCTTTGGATCCTGCCAGGGTTCTACAGAAAACTGAGACTATTGATTTCAAGAGGGATAGGTACATTATGGTGCAGTCAGAACAGATCAGACAAATAAACATTTATAGTGGTGAAGTCATGTGTTGTATACATATTATAGCAATTCTGGTGCTTTTATCTTCCTACTGCAAAAATGGCATTAGTAGATTAAAATCTCCAGTGGAGAGTACAAATGGCAGATCCCTAAGGAAATACCTCTATGGAGCTCATAGAATCCTTCTGCTAACTGTGGTACCTCAAAGTTATTTTTCTAATATGTTATTATTAGCAAAATGTCATGGTCTAAATTCAGTATTTATAATCCCAGAAATGGGGAAAAGTGTTGTTTGGAATAAAGGTCAGAATATATTTGAAATTAAGAAATTGTTCGTATCTAAGAATAAGTCATACCATTGAAACTGGTGAACAATTTTTTAAATTATATTTTTCCTTTCCAGGATGTGATAGATTTTGTTTTCTCTGCTGTGACACCAAAAATGACAATTTTAGAATGTATGTACATCAAACAAGCTATTGACCTCCTACAGGTAGATGTGTCATTCAGTTTTTCTCTCTCTCATTCTGTTATTTGGGCTGGGACATCGTTCTAGGAGGACAGTAGTTACATATTGCATCTGCTTTGCAGGGTCTATTGTCTGACCGAGGTGAGAAGCAGCTCAGCGAGGAACATATTGCTCGCTTGTTTGTTTTTGCTGTGATGTGGTCAGCCGGAGCTCTTTTGGAACCGGATGACAGGCTGAAAATGGAGCTGTTCCTACGGAAGCATTCTGCAGTGAAAGAACTTCCAGCTGTGGATGGAGAAGAAACCATGTTTGAATTTGGTATCAATGCCTGTGGCCAGTGGGAGCACTGGTCAAAGAAGGTTTGTATGCTGCGACATGCTGCGCTTTCTGAATGAGCGGGCAAGAAAGATAGAAAGATGTATTTGGTAATAGGCATATTATTTTGTTATTTAAAACCCTGCATTATGTGGTTAGGAAGATTAACCCTACCGAATGCTCAAGAGTTTCTTTTTTGAAAGATTTCTTTCTTTTCTTCATAAATATCTTTGGCGCAGTATAGGAATATGCATCTGAAATAGCTTTGGAATTGAAACAGGAGTGATTTTAACTCTGCCTACTGTCTATCGCCCTGCTATTTAAGAACTCCCAGCAAGGAAAAGCTTTCTTCATGTAATGGGGAATAGTGGAGTGAAAATATCTTGTTAGTCTAACACCTTGGTAGGAAAAGCTTGGCAAGGTACTGATTGATTATAAATGTATGCTGGGCTTTCAGGAAGAAAAGCTTTGCTAATATACATTTTATAAAGTACATTTGGTTTTGTGTTTGATGCAAAGTGATAGTGTGGGCAGGTGGAAAGTCTCAAACTTTTTGTGTGTGTGTCTTATGCAGGTCCCTGAATATATTTACCCTAAAGATTCAATACCAGAATATACTTCCATTCTAGTTCCGAATGTAGACAGCGTCCGAACACACTTTCTAATGCACACTATCATGAGGCAAGGAAAAGCTGTTCTGCTAGTTGGGGAACAGGGAACAGCAAAAACAGTCATGATTAAGGTAGGTGGAATGGAAAAACATGTAATATCTTTGTAAGTTAACATTGCAGTAATTGGCACTGGTATAAATGTTAAATTGAAGTGTAAGAGTAATTAGATTTTTCTTCTGATTACGTACTAGCATTCTTACTGATGCATTTTGCCTGTACTCATGTAGCCTACAGGCAGAAACCCGTAAGTATCTATACTTTAAAGAGTTCTTTTAAACTTTACTAACCATGGTCACACGGTCATGTGGTAAATGCTCTTTCATACTCTTTCTTTTCTTTTGAGAAGTCAAAACAGAGAATTTGCTAAGAAAATATTGATCCTTGGAGGACTTGTATTTCCCTGTGTTTGTCAGCGGTACTGTGTGTGAACTGATCTTTTGTACACCCTTGTTACACAGACTATCTTCACAAGCCAAAGTCAAGAGAAATAAAGAACTTCCTTCTTTCCTCAGGGTAATTCTTCACAGGGTAAATTTAGTGTTTATTATCTGCTCTCTTAATTCCTTCACTGAAAAAGACATACTGTTCTTTCTGTAGAAGAAAATAACAGCAGCATTGCTATTAAATTAACAAATACATGCTTTCCATATTATAAAAAGGTGCAGGTTGATCATATGACGCTTAAAAATGTTAACAACTTACTACAGGAGAGCGAATAATCGAAAGGCTGGACAAACCCAGATTTGCCATACAGGCATCTGTACCTCCACTGGGGGATTTGCGGAGGTCTTAAAATTGAAAATAACTGAAAAAAACTGGCCTAAATTGACCTTTGGCTTTCTTAAAATCTGGAGCCATTTAGTGTCCCCTGGCCATGTGCTTTCTGAGCCCTGACTTAAAATGAGTTGTACCAATGCCAGCAGTCATTAATACTACTTTTTCAGCTGAGCTGTTGATGCCAACACACATGCCGGTGTAATGTCAACTTCTGTTCCTGGCACTAGGTGGAGAACTATTTTAGCAGAGCAAAAAGGCGGGGTCTGGGTGGTGGTCTTGATATTCTGCATGCTGGATTTTATCCAGATACTGGCAACCTCCAGCCTTCAGCTGCCATTCCTGTCCCTAAAAATAATTGGAGCTGATTCTTGGGAGTTGCTTACCCTGTGTCTATTCTATAGAGCAGAGTATGTTCCTTACACAAGAGAGCATAATGCCAGTAGGTATTTGATCTCATTTAAGGTTAGGAGTGAGCGTTAACAGCCTTCACAACTGTTCCCCTTCTGCTTCCCCTTCTGCAGAATTTGGCTTTACTACACCTTGTGGAAAAGAAATTTCCAGAAATAAGCATCTGGTTTAATGAAAAAGTAAAATAATAAATAATATGGAACATTTCAGATAGTAATCTGAATTAATATAAAGAAATCTTCAGCACTGAGTAAGGCATAAGTACATATAAAAATAAAGAACTTAGAGTGTTATTAAGACCTTCACTCTCCGCACCATTAATTCATGAACTGCAAAAAATACAGAATTTAACGAGAAACTGGTATGGTAAAGTTGAAAATTCTCTGACAGTTTAACCAACAAAAATAATACCATTAAATAACCTCTTATTTTTCAAAGATAGTTCTCATTTATGTACTATGGGATATTACTGTTCATACATAGAGATTCTGAAATGCCATAATGAATAAAACACAAGTGTGTTTTTTGAATGGTTGTGTATTCATAGTTGGGGTGGGTTGACTTTGGTCAGCTGCAAGACCCCCACCCATCCACTGGTTCCCTTCCCCTCCTCAACAGGAGAGGGGTTGAGGTACGGACAGGGAGATCACTCACCAGTTATTGTCACAGGCAAAACAGACTTGACTTTGGGAAAATTAAATTAATTTATTGCTAATTAAAATTAGAATAGGATGGCGAAACACAAAGACAATACTAAAATCAGCCTTCCCTCACCCCTCCTTTTGTTCCAGGCTCACCTTCACTCATTCCTTCATCCCTGACTCTACCTTCTCCCCCTCCAGGCAGCACAGGGAGATGAGGAATGGGGGCTGAGGTCAGTCCGTAACAGCTCCTTTCTGCTGCTCCTTCTTCCTCACGCTGCTGCCTTCTCCCACAGGGGCCCCTTCCACAGGAAACAGGCCTTCATGAACTGCTCCAGCTTGCGTTACCATGGCTGCAGTTCTTCACGAGCTGCTTCAGCATGGGTCCCTCCCATGGGGTGCAGTCCTTCAGGAGCAGCCTGCTCCAGCATGGGGTCCTCTCTCCACAGGGCCACAGGTCCTACCAGGAGCCTGCTCCAGCATGGGCTCTCCACGTACTGCAGCTTCCTTCAGAGCACATCCACCTACTGTGGTGTGGAACCTCCAGTGTGGATATCTGCTCCAATGTGGTCCTCTGTGGGTTGCAGGGGGCTAACCTGCATCACGATGGTCTTCTTCATGGGCTGCAGGGGAATGTCTCTTGGAACACCTCCTGCCCTTCTTTCTGCTCTCACGTTGGTGTCTGCAGGGCTGTTCCTGTCACATTTTTCCTCACTTTTCTCTCTCAGCTCCCAGGCAGCGTTTTGCCTTTTCTTACACAGGCTGAGTGGCTGTGGTGGGTCTGTTGGAGCTGGCTGTGTCTGGCATGGGGAAGCCCCATCCTCTTCTCACATGGTGCTGCCCCACAGTCCCCACTCCCAGCACCCTGAACCTGGTACCTCAGTTTTGTACAACTGGTTGGAGCCCTGAGGAGAGGTCTGAGCAGTGACCTACACCAACCCATCAGCTGTCAAGAGTACTCACCAAATATAGGGCTGTTGAGTATACATTACATGTAGACTGTCATTTTTGTGATGCCTGAGAAAAACCTGTTTCTGAAGGGTGCCTTTTGTTAAACTGAGATCATTCTATCAACAAAATGAACAATTTAACAATATTCATCAAAATATTTTGAGGGGGCCTAGCTGAGTCTTACTTTCTGTTGTGATGCAGAGTGTATGTCTTACTGGAGTTGTTCCTACAGCACTTAATCAGCAATTATATAGGCTTATTTTTCTGAGGATACAAAATGGGAACATTTATAGTCAATCTTGTTATAAAAATAATTAAAATTATATTCAATTTGTCATCATTGCAGAAGAATTGAATCTTTAAAAAGAAATAATGTTGAAAATCTGGAATATTTAATACTATTTTTATGTCCCAGGGCTCTTACTAAACAAAATATTTCCCATGCTTTATATATATGCCCTGGTGTGACTCCAGGGTTACATCTTTTTCTTTCCAGTTCCATTATAAAACCTCACTAAATAAGAAAATTGAAACTTTGTTGCTTTAGGGCATCAGCAGCAGCGGAGGAAATTGTATGCATTCATAAAACCCAAGGATTCTTTTCTTCATTAAGAGAGGATAGCTGTCAGTAAATGCAATGTAGCTGGGTTTAATTTTACATTACTGTTCCTTTCCACTGCTTTTGTTGTAAGAAATGGTGCTGTAGTGTAAACGGGAAAAAGAATTCGTTTTTTCACTTGTTCCTTGCAGACCGCTTTAGAGATCATCACTAACAGCTTGAATTTAGAAAAACCCTGACAATTGCTAAGGAAAAGTTTATTTACATCTTGAGTTGTCACATATTTACTTGTTGTAACACTTAGTGAATTCTGTTAAAAGCTTATGCATTTCAATACTTAGAAACTTTATGCAAAACATCAACTGAGAATTTGTTTGAATTTCGGGTCGAAGATGGTATATTTATCTTAAATAAACTGCTGTTTGACATTTTGAAGTTAATAGCAGGACTGAGATTTTTTAGATGTCTGATTTTTACAGGGCTGGAGGTACTAGTACACTTTACTTTAAAATTGGTTTGTCTTGCAGGATTACACAAGCAAATATGATCCTGATGTTTACTTGACCAAATGCCTAAACTTTTCTTCTGCAACTCTGCCGAATATGTTCCAAAGGAGCATAGAAAGTTACATAGATAAAAGAATGGGCACCACATATGGACCTCCAGCAGGGAAGAAAATGACAGTCTTTATTGATGACATCAACATGCCTGTGATTAATGAATGGGGTGATCAGGTAGAAGGAAAATGTTAACATTTGGGAATCAGTGTCTTGCCACTGCTGCTGATGGAAATGCTGATCTGTGGGGTGCAAAAATAGGAAAGTTTAGGAACAAGACATCATAATATGGACTAGACCCAGTATGTCTTCTAAAAGCAATTTCCCTAAGCCAGTTTTGGCCAAAAGTAATAAGCTGTCAGTCCCAAAAGATTAGGGTCACCATCAAGCCACTTGGTGCAATCATTGTAGCTTTTAAGCCTTCTGTTTTGCTTACATAGAGAGCTTGCAGAATTTCCAAACTACTTGTACTAAGAACCAATCTGGGAAAGGCAGCATGCAAATCCAAGAAGTGATCAGAGACTCCTTGCTTCTTCCATCTACTCTTGACTTCAAAGTACAGTTATTATTTGGTGAAATCTGACATCACAGTTGACATCCAAGACTAGTGAGATGTCCTGAAATATTGATAAATGAGTACTTATAGAACTTTACTCTGAAAATTTGACTTAAATAAAAACACTGCTGAGAAAAAGTGCTTTTCCTACTCCCAGTATAGTTCTGTAATCCTTCTCTCTCACTGCCTCTATACAAGTGAATGTGTGACTATACTTTGTGCTAAACTAACCGTTCTTTGTCACTATCTAAATGCCTGTGTCAGTCTGAATATATAGTCTGTACTGAAGCTTTGAATGCTGAATTTTCTTAGATTGATATTATGGAAATGCAGTGGAATGTCTGACCTCATGTCCAGAACTACTTAGCACATGAAGCTTACATGCAGCCAATCCACTGCATCAGAGCGCTTGGTACCATGTTGCTACCTGTCTGCTAATTTATTTTACTGGAGATTTCCTCTTTCCTTTTTTTGAGAACCCTGAAACACTGAACTGCTCCATTTCTTTTTTTGGGTGTTAACTAGATCACCAATGAGATTGTAAGACAGCTGATGGAACAGAAAGGTTTTTACAATTTGGAGAAGCCAGGAGAATTCACCAATGTAGTTGACATCCAGTTTGTAGCTGCTATGATTCACGCTGGGGGTGGTCGGAACGACATCCCACAGCGCCTGAAACGCCACTTCGCCATCTACAACTGCACACTGCCTTCCAGTTCCTCTATTGACAAAATATTTCGAACAATAGCTGAGGGCTATTTCTGTGAACAACGACATTTCCCTGCAGAAATATGTAAACTGGCTTCAGCATTAGTATCTACAACTCGAAAGGTTTGGCAAGCGACAAAAGCAAAGGTAAAATTACATCTGTTAAGAAGCCTTTGAAACATCTGTACCATGACAAAGCCAAAACAACACCCAAGTCTTTTGTACTGTCATGTGTGTTCATACTTCATGATGTGAAGCTGTGACCTCTATGTATAACTGTTGGCTGATGCCTCTGTTCTGAATTTGTTGCTATCAGTACCTAGTTAGCTAATTAAAAACATAATCATATACGGTGCCTTCTATAGCTAACATAAGAATTACATTTTATAAATATAATACAGTAAACATAGCTGATAGGAAGAGGTAGTCTGGTTGAGAAAATTTCAAAGGCATAAGGAACCATAAATTAAAAATTAGTTAGGAATCTTCTGTAAAGGCATTTGGGATTGTGAGAAACTTTTAAAGTTCTGAATTAAAGGAAAGAAGTCTAATTTGGCAGAAAGGGAATCAATTCAAAACAAATGAAATGTGGTATCTAGTAAATTCTAAATATTTTCTTCTTCCATTTCAAACAGATTGTAAAAACATTTAACTGCAATTCCTAAGCAAACGTTGCTTTGAAATAGGAAATAAAATGTATATGTGGACTGAAATTTGAAAAATTAAGAGTAAAATTACAGCATAGAAATTTATGCCAAATTTGATCTTCTAATGTAAAAAGTGGAGGACAGCGGTGGAAAGATAGAGATAGGCAGGGATTTGATAAATATTTTCTAGACCAGAAAATTGTTGGTTAAAATTTCCCAGACAGGTCAACTGCAGTCATAAACTTGACTTACACAGAGAGATAGAGAGCGTTCTAGTGAACCTATTGACCAAGTCCACTATTGGCCAGTATATTCCCCAGAAATGGTGCTTATTACTGCTAATTAACTGCCTGTAGAGAAAACGTAGCTTTTGCTAAGTTGTTATTTTTTTTTTTTTCAAATAATGTTTTCTCATTTTTCTGCTCTCTTTTCTTTGCTTTTCTCCATCTACTTTTCCTTTTCTTCATGAACTCTTCCTCACATGTTCTTGGAGAGGACAAAAGAGAATGACAGAAATGATCTGGAAGAAAGGGCAGGAGCAACACCACAGGTTAAGCAATGCTGACATTTTTACTGTGGTCTTCAATGCCATTGTTAACTAAACTGTTTCGGCTGCCCTTCAGTGAATGCTCCTGGAACTTGAAAGATCCAAAGAAATTCGAGTGAAATTATGTGAAATAAAGGAGCTGGTCATTGCTACTGTCATTTCTTCATTTTTAACATTGTCTCTTAAATGCCAAGCATGTACTTCTGCTTTAATGCAATGTTGATTTTGAAGTCTGTGAAAATTTCCATATTCATTTAATAGTAGATAGAAGATATATTTATTTAGTAGTTATCTGAATATAGCTTATGACATTATTTCGTAGATGTTACCAACTCCAGCTAAATTTCATTACATCTTTAATTTACGAGACCTCAGTCGTATTTGGCAAGGAATACTTACAGTTACTTCTGAAGTCTGCCAGAGCATCAGTGTTTTGGTAGCCTTGTTCCAGCATGAATGCAGACGTGTTATTGCAGACAGGTTCATCAGCCAAAGTGATAAAGACTGGTTTGAGGACATGATGAAAAAGGTAGGCAAAGAGTGTTCCAGTATTTACCACAGAAAGAGACCAATGAAATGTTTCATGACTAAAGCAGTCCTTAATGTATTGTTGTAGATTGCTTATGCAGAACACGGTCAAAATTTATTTGAAGATATGTCTACAGAATCATACTTTGTGGATTTCTTGCGTGATGTCCCAGAAGCTACTGGAGATGAACCTGATGATGCAGAGTCGAAGGCTCCTAAAATTTATGAGCCTATCCCATCTTTGGATTATTTGGCTGAAAGATTACAGATGTTCATGCAACAGTACAATGAAACTATCAGAGGATCAAAGATGGATTTAGTATTTTTCAAGGTATTAGTGACTGTAATTATATTAACACAGAAAGTTCCTGGTCTTTTGCACTTACCAATACATGGATCTTGTATGTTTCTATCAAATTATTTTGGAAATAGCTCAGAATGGATAGGCCTGTATCCAACAAGCCTTACAAATGAACTCTATAAAGCCATGCAGCTGTCTCCCAGCTGCCTTTGCTCCCACAAATTATTCCCATCTCTTTGCAGTTCCCCAAATTTTCTTTCTCCTGCCCTGGGTAATGCAAAGCACAACTCACTTGTTTCTCCAGTGCACACTGTGAATGTCATCTCACATCTCTGAAAATTGCCTCCTTCTCAAAGGTCGCTCAGTGCTTGATGCTTTCTTCAGCTTTAGACTGAGTGGTTTGGTAGATTTTTAGGGCATTTCAGATTAATCCTTGCTCTAAGATAAATAGAACAATGGAATAAGAAATGTCTGAAGTGTGCTTGTATTTTACTTTTGGCAACCTATTTAGAGAGCGTGTAAATAGCTCAGCTAAAAGACTGGGGGAGGGTGTTAATCCATGTCCTTTCTGCTTTTCCTTCTGTCCCCTAAGAGGCATGCCCTCCGCTCTGCTGAATACAAACACTGCATAAGACACTGCTTCATAATGAGCTTGATACAATGACGTTTCTCTTGGCGTTTCTAGCCCTGCTACCCGCTGAAGTCAGGGGGAAATCTCTTGTTGATTTGGATGAGTACAGGACTGAGTCTTTTGCACAGGCTCCAGAAAAGCTATCTGGCTGTTGCGAGGGAGTTGCTTGGTGATGTGCTTCTACTGGAATATACATAGTGTTATTTTTACATCTTTTCATCCATTTTTCTCTCAATACACAGGATGCAATCATCCATTTGATAAAAATATCACGCATTATTCGTACTCCACAAGGAAATGCATTGTTGGTGGGTGTGGGTGGATCTGGAAAACAGAGTCTGACCAGACTAGCATCATATATTGCTGGATATGAGAGCTTTCAGATTACTTTAACAAGGTAACACAACACAGTGTACGGAGACATTTGCTCCTTCATTTGCTATAGAAATTAATGTCTCACAATCAACTTAAAGAAATACAAACGTGTCAAACATTTTATCCCACATATTAAACTACATTTTCGATCAAAAACATCTGTGCAAATGCCCAATCTATAGATAACAGAACCTGAGTCTGTTTTGCTGCCTTTGTGCTACTGACAAGACATCTGTCTTTCCTTCAGCATTTAAGTCTGCAGTGTACCCTTGGGAAATCCCACTAAAATACTATTTTGCACAAAAAATAATATGGAATAATTTGCTTTTCTATTCTGTATAATGGGCAAATGCTGATGGCCAGGGGAAATAGTAACTTTTTCTGTAGATGCTTATGTACCCTGACTGTATTATTGCAACGGCTATCAATGGCTTAGTAGTTTGTAGTGCTGGAATTTAGTAATTTGTAGAAATCCAAAGTGACTGGGAGTAACTACTGCCTTCCATCTGTTTCTCATTTGTCATAGGGTTTACGGGGGTAAGCACTGAGGGCTGGCAGTGTGTATTTCATTCTGCAAACTGCTCAACACACCGAGAAATCTTCCTTAGAGAGATATATCAGGTCTTTGAACAATGTTATGAGGTTCTGATGAAAGGAAAGAGAAAGACACATCACAGCCTCTTCCTGTGTCCCAGAAGCAGAAGGAAAGAACAGTGGGTAACAAAATCCTGGAGGGAGAAAAAAAATGTAGACTCACAGAATAAGGTCCCTAGACTTGCAAGATTCAAAATGCATTAATAAGGCAAATAAATATTTCAGTCACTTAGGAGAGGTTCGTTTGCTGAAGCTAATTTGAGGTGAGCTAAAAGCAGGTAGCTGAAAGTCTGTAGTTACAAAGCAGATTGTCATCTTTTGTAACTTGCCACAGGAGGCTGTGGAGGAAGACAATATTAGCAGGATCATTAATGAATGCTGAGAGGACAAGATGGACATACCTTCTAACACTCCTAATACAACGGCTACGAATATAGAGGGGGGAAGAAAGAAATTAACAGTGAATAATGGGTGCTGGCTCATGTTTTCTGTCTAAGTAGCATTTCTCATTGCTGGTGTTGAGTATTGAACTAGATGGACTGCCATTCTTGCTCAGTAGAGAAATTCCTATGTTCTTATCAGAATACCAATAATCACTGCAATAGCTGTAGCTGACACAGGCAAACAGAAGAGTTAGATTGTTTTAAAAGTTCTGCAGTGCTTGCATTAAGGGTATTTATAGATGACTGGTAAGACAGAGCTGGAAGAGAACTGGGCAACTCTATATGGCATACTTGTTTTCAAATACTGAAAAATGGGTCGTATGTATTGCAAGTATTACTTTTGACTGTGAAGATACTCTCGGAGATAAGAAACTGCTTGCAAAGAAAGGAGGTTCCTAATTTCAGCTTTAATTGGCTATGAACATAATAGAAAAAAATCTGCCATTTTATTAACCTTCCTTTACTTCATTTTATATTCCATAATCTGAATTCTGTAGTTGAATTTGTGTGGACTTCATCTGAATCTTACTTCTGTGCACCATCTATAAGAGGTGTAATGAAAATGGAAATTGTTTTCCATTTGCAGCAGAGCTGATCAGCCCAAGTGATAATGTTTAAGTATCATTACTGGGGCTTGATTTCAGTTAAACCAAAATAACACGATAAAACCCTTGGTTTTGGTTTTGCTTGTTTGTTAATAATTTTCTTTAACCTGCACTCAATATCATTGAAGGATAATCCAGCTGTATTTAAGTAATGGTTACATGTATCAGAACCTACTTGACAACTTAATCCACCCGTATTAACTTAGTTTTAATAAAAAATTTACATGTGCAAACTGTGGGGATGCAAAGCAGCATCATAATTACCTTAGACATACCATCCTTTTTTCAGCATGTTCTTTTGTTGCTTTCACCTCCTTCCCCGTGATTTATGGGATTTATGGCACTGGTCATTCATGTTGGGAAAATGGTTAAGGAAAAAACCCTAAGAAAATCAAACCAGGAGATATGGTGTTGATTTCTGATGTAATTATGTAGATTTTTTCTTGCCTTAAGGAAGCTAAGACAGACGATAGATATTTCCTAAAATGGTCTTTAATTTTTGTTCTCTCTTTCTTTAATTCTTTTCTATCCCAGAACATATGCCACCACCAACCTTCTGGATGATTTGAAAATCTTGTACCGCACTGCTGGGCAAAAAGGAAAGGGCATTGTCTTTATATTCACAGACAATGAAATCAGAGATGAATCTTTTCTTGAGTACATGAACAATGTTTTGGCTTCAGGTGAAGTCTCAAACCTTTTTGCACGAGATGAAATAGGTGAAATCACGCAAGACCTTATACCGGCCATGAAGAAGGAGCACCCAAAGCGTACTCCCACTGGTGAAAATCTTTATAATTACTTTCTTACTCGAGTTCGTAATAATCTGCATGTGGTTCTTTGTTTTTCTCCCGTTGGGGAAAAATTCAGAACTCGTGCACTCAAATTTCCAGGTCTGATTTCAGGCTGTACTATGGACTGGTTCCAGCGCTGGCCTAAAGATGCTCTTGTAGCAGTTGCACAGCATTTTTTAGTTTCCTACCATATTGAGTGCACAGATGAAGTGAAACAGAGTGTTGTTAACACCATGGGAACATTTCAAGATATTGTAGCTGAAAAATGTGTTGAATACTTTGAACGATATAGGCGAAGAACATTTGTGACTCCAAAATCTTACCTGTCCTTCATTGGAGGATACAAAACTATTTACAAAGAGAAGTTTGCCAATGTTGGAAGTTTGTCTGAACGTATGAGAACAGGTACTGTAAAATCTGTTTGCTTTTCTTTTTTTTTTAAAGGTGAGAACAATCTGAGAAAAGAATCTTAAATTATGGATTTACATTGTGAGCTCAATTTCATTTAGAAGCAGAATTGTTGTGTGTGATTACAACTTATGCAGAGGTTTTGTTTCAATTAATTTCATGAATGTTGCAGATTGCAGATGAGTTTTGAAAACATTATGTTTGCTGTTAAAATACCTGAAACTCCTGCTTTAACATGTATGCATGCCAAAGTAACTACTGTGATCCTAGTTTTCGCATTTAAACATGCTAAAAGTAATCTGAGGGAAGGTAAGTAAATGTTTAGATTCAGTCTCTCTGAAGAAACAGTTATATACCAGATGTAAAGTTTCCAAGGCACTGCACAAGGCCATACACAGTAAACAATTACACAGTTTTGAAAACTGAGTGGTGTTTGGAAGTGAACGTGAACTTATAGAACCATGGAATGGTTTGGGTTGGAAGGGACCTTAAAGATCATCTAGTTCCACCCCCCCTGCCATGGGCAGGGACACCTTCCACTAGACCAGGTTGCTCAAAGCCTCATCCAGCCTGGCCTTGAACACTTCCAGGGATGGGGCATCCTCAGCTTCTCTGGGCAACCTGTTCCAGTGCCTCACCATCCTTTCCATGAAGAACTTCTTCCTGATATCTAATCTAAACCTCCCCACTTTCAATTTAAACCCATTACCCCTTGTCCTGTCACTGCAGGCCCTTGTAAAAAGTCCCCCCCCAGCTTCCTTGTAGCCCCTTCAGGTACTGGAAGGCTCAGGCTCAGGTCTCCCCAGAGCCTTCTTTTCTCCAGGCTGAACAAGCCCAGTTCTCGCAGCCTTTTGTCATAGGAGAGGTGCTCCAGCCCTCTGATCATCTTCGTGGCCTCCTCTGGAGTCGCTTCAGCTTAAACTACTTCTTCTGCCGCTGTTACCGATTGCAGAACTGAACAGTGTATACATATCTCCATAGGAAGAGGGTGGCTGAGTGCCTGGAAGGAACATATGTGCTTTCTTTTTTTGAGGGCTAGAAAGATTTACATGATGCATTTACATTTAGATGCATACGTTTATATGTAAGGATTTTTATATTTATAGCTTTTCTAGCTGATTTTCTCATAGTTTGAAAAAAATATTGGAACATTGTATTGCTCAAGAATCTTTAGTTTCTTTTACCCCCATCTCATCTGGACCTTCATCTAATGTTGAATTTAGAAGTTCAGTCTAGTCTCCTTGTGTCTTCATTGCGTTGCTCAGGATGCAAATTTCCACCTCTTTCTTTTGTTTCAGAGAATACAGTCATCTACTTCTTATGGTCTCATGGATTTCTGAAATTGCACACATAATTCTTAAGAGTCCCATTCAAAATACTAATGCTTTTCAGTATGTGTTCAATATTTAATGTACTGCTCATATATAAGAACATAAACAAGTGATCAAATGACAGATTCTGAAGACTTACTGATTTAAAACAAAAGAAAAGAAAAATTAAGCAGCAGATGTATATTACCCCTGATTAATTTTGGTGTTCAACAAATGGGATCACTCACTTGGGTTCCTAAATATGAATCTGAGGGACTTATTTTTAAGTATCCAGATTGCTTCACTGAGTTTTCTCTCTCAGTTGGTCTTTCTGTTGCTAAAATGGAATTTGTTCAACACAGGTCTTGCAAAACTGATGGAAGCTGAGGTTTCAGTAAATCATCTTTCCAAAGAGCTGGTGATGAAGGAGAAAGATTTGGCTGTGGCTTCAAAAAAAGCCGATGAAGTTCTATTGGAAGTAACTATGAAAGCACAAGCTGCCGAAAAGGTCAAAATGCAGGTGCAAAAGGTAAAAGACAAGGCTCAGGCCATTGTGGATGACATTGCCATTGATAAAGCAGCAGCAGAAGAGAAGCTTGAAGCTGCACGACCTGCATTGGAAGAAGCCGAAGCAGCCCTGCAGGTCAGAATCAAAGATACTCTGAATATGCATGTAGTTAATGGTGCTATTTGTAATAATATGGCTTTGGCTTAGGCTTCTGATTTGAAAAAGAAAATATTGAAATGACTAGCACTGACCTGTTAATCCTTGTAGAAAAAAAAAATGACAACTGAGGCAGTGGAGAGGTAAGATGGGCCTCCTCTACTGTCAGGTAATAAAGCAGTCACTACGTGGTACTACCTTAGGACTTCCTGCAGTACTGCATCTGAGTTACCTGCATAACTGCAGCAACTGCATTACATATACAGTCCTCCCAAATACATCTTTCTCTACCATCAAGTGATTGCTTAAATAAATGGATTATTTTCCTTTTTAATTTTTCAGACAATAAAACCTTCTGACATTGCAACTGTTCGCAAACTGGGTAAACCTCCTCACTTGATAATGCGAATTATGGATTGTGTGTTACTTTTATTCCAAAGAAAAATAGACTCAGTAACACCTGATCAGGAACGCCCATGTGTGAAGCCATCGTGGACTGAGGCTCTGAAACTAATGAATAATTCAGGATTTCTTAGCATGTTGCTTACTTTCCAGAAGGTAAGAAGTTAACAGTGGCACTATTACTCGTATAACTCTCTTTAGAGATCACATGAAAGTGATCAAACTGCCTTCAAAGGTAGTTTGAAACAGATTAGTCTTTTGTGTACCTATAATTGTAGGTACCTTCGTGACTGTATTCTTCTCCATTTTCATGGTTCATTATTTTAGTAATTTTTCTCCTGAGCCACACAGTTTTGATGGCAGACACAAGTATCCCAAGTGCTAGATCAAACTTTGAGAAACTTTGTGTTATCTTTGCTCAGGCAGTTTCTGCTTCTCAGTAGGAATTTGCCTGTAAAAGACTCACTCTTGAGTTTTCAAATGGCTCACCATCTCCAGTGCTACCAGGCCGGTTTGCACATAAGACATTCTAGAACTCCATCCAGAACTGTTGCACGGGGAGCTAGAAGGAAATGCTGAAGAAAATAGGCATCCTGTCAGGAAAAATACTGCGATATTTGAGAACTCTAGGGGTTCTTTCTCTAGAAAAGTAGTGAAATGCAGAATGAACTGAGAACCTTAGTGTCAGCTGCAAGAGAAATAAAAGCAAACACAGGTTTTTATTTCTGTCAGGAAAGAAACTTGTCCTGTTTGCAGCAAGATTCACTGAACTGGGAGACAAGGGAAATTTCTCTGCAGGGAAGAGAAGAAGGACGTCATAGGTAGCTGGACCAGAAAAAGAGCTAGGCTGGAATATAGAATGGCAGTATCATGCCCCAACTTTAAAATCCAGAAAACCAAGCATGTTTTGGCAAAAGGTGTGTTTTCAACAACAGTACAGAATGTACTCTTTCATTTGTGCAGTGATTTTTTAATCTGCTTCAGCTGTGCATTTTGCTGATGCCTTTTCTAAGCTACTGGAGTGTTTTTGTTGTGCAGATGAGGCTTGAAACCATGATTCTCACTGGCCTTCTCCTAGTGAGCCATAATGACAAGGCACCATGTGGAAACATGCACTGCCTCTGTAGACAGTTTCTTCCTGGGGTTGTCAATCTGGCCACTTTTCCAAGTGCTATCTTCACTAAACAGAAAGAGGAAATGAGTTTAAAGATAATGGAGAAGATAATGGGAACTAATTATGCACTCCTTACTTAAGCTTCTCTCTAATGAAGCTTCCAGTTTTGGCACTTATTAATAGTGCATGCATTCCTG